GAAGCTAAAACTGGATCTCTCCTTCCAACTCTCATTCAAACTAGCAGCAGCATTTTGGATTAACTGAAGACTTCTTACAGAGTTTTTTGGAAGCCCAGATAATAAAGAATTACAGTAGTCCAGCCTAGACGTGATAAATGCATGAATCAGTTTTTCCGCATCATTTTTGGACAAAATGTTTCTAATTTTAGTGATATTATGCAGGTGGAAGAAGGCGGTCCTGATAACATTTTTAATATGAGGGTTAAAAGACATATCCTGATCAAAAATAACGCCAAGTTTCTTTACATTAGAACTGGAGGCCAGATTAATGCCATCCAGAGAAGGTGAAAGGCTACAAAGTTGATCCCTAAGATGTTCAGGTCCAAAAACCACAACATCTGTCTTATCTGAGTTTAGTAGCAGAAAATTAAGAGTCATCTATGTTTTTATGTATGTAAGACATGCTTGTAGTTTAGGTACCTGGTTGAATTCATCAGGTTTCATGGATAAATATAAATGAGTATCATCAGCATAACAATGGAAATTTATCCCATGCTGCTTAATAACTTTACCTAATGGAAGCACATATAAAGTAAAAGAGGATTGGTCCAAGCACTGAACCCTGAGGAACTCCATGACTAACTCTGGTGTTAGAAGAAGATTCATTATGAACATTAACAAACTGAAATCTATCAGTTAAATAAGACTCAAACCATTTTAGAGCTGCTCCTGTAATCCCAATATCAAGTTCAAGTCTACGTAATAAAATTTTGTGATCAATTGTATCAAATGCAGCACTGAGATCTAACAAGACAAGAATGGAAACAAGTCCACTGTCTGAGGCCATGAGAATATCATTAGTAACTTAGCCAACTTGCCCAGTGCACAAGAAGTATTTTTGGAACAAAAACCTGTAAGGACTGTTTCTCTGGGTCATGTCACAGCCAACACATTCAAGGAAGAGTATGAGATGCTACCAAATCACAGCAACGATTAAGTTTTTTCACCCAATCAACAAACATTCATGGAACCACCTCATCATCGAGCTCACGAAGCACGTTAGAGTTTAAAAAATTAACGTTTTATAAGTACTGCTAAAAGAAAAGTTAAGGTGAATTGTGTCAAATAGTTCTAAGGACTATGAAGTGGTACTCTGTGGTCCAACACCTTAAGATCTTTAGGATTCTTCCAGGATCTACCTGCCTCCTTAGTTTATTGGGTCACGGTTTCAAACAAGTTCTACAGCCAAACTGACTAAGCTGACAGATCCTAAGAGTCTTAATCTCAGCACTGTGGGGTTGATTGAGTTCTGGTTGTGGCCTCATATCAAGTCACTTAACCACAGAATCTCTTGGATCACATAACACTAAATCAGAGTTGTCAATGTGACTTTTAATACAATCTAATACCAAGACATCTGTTGTTGTTCCATTCACATACACAAAGCACATACCAGGGTTTAAGTGCAGAGGAAGCATGCTAAGAGGGTGTGGGTGGGTGTCCATCCGTCTTATCTTTGTCTTTCTTGAGGACACTTTAACTTGTGGTCTTGTTGGACTGTTTCCAAAATGTGCAGAGGCTGTCTTAATGCCAAAATAACTTTTATAACAACAGATTGCACATTATAAGAAAAGTACAGAGAAGGAATACATCTCAGTTTCTGTCTATCTGAATAACAAACACAAAGCCTTTGTCATATTTTATTCTCTTTATTCCAGAAAGACTCTGAAGTGTCACTAGTGTTAAATAGTTTTTATATTTTATGAGAATTCTGCTACCCTTTTTGAACTGTTGCTTGTTAAAAGTATGGTACACAAACACTTGTAAGGTCCCAAATACACACATACCCATGTAAATGCAATTTTTTGTATGAAATTGCCACCTTCTTTATTTTTTTGTCAAACATGTTGAACACAGACACACAAAAACCTCCGTCTGGTCTCCATAAGCCCCGGCTCCTTGCTGTGCTCAGCAAGAGGCTAAGGGGGATTTAGATTGTACAAGACCAACAGATTTGGATTCACACTACACCTCTCTTTTTATCTCTAAGCCTCCCTCAGTCTGCAAAGCCCGAAAAAACTAAAACTTGTGAAACACATGAAGCAGCGAGACAAGAATAGAAGACGAATTATTCAGTGGAGAAAAGAGCTGATGGCAGGGTGATAATGGGAGGGTTGAAAATGGAAGAAGGAATAAAATTAAAAAAGGGGGAAAATCAGCACGTTGTTAAAGGTTTTTACTGGTTTTGAAGGTGTGGATGTGTCGGAGTGCTCTGTGTGAGGTGATTTACACGTCTGCGTGTGTTTACAGTCTAATATTAGTCTTTATGACTGTCCCACCGAGTGACAAGTTAACAAGCCGTTTTATACTTCTGCACTGGTGAACAAGCTGCAAAACGTGTGGCCAGTCAGTCTCTGTGTGTGGAGACATATTTTTGTATTAGACCACCTTTGCAAGGGCATTTTTTCTGGTCCACACTAGGGTAGATTGGTAAAAAAAAAAAAAAATAGTGATTAATATGGTGATTAATCCCCTGAAGTCCCTGGATGCTGGTATGTCCTAGTCACATGACCAATTTTAATCACTCTAGTGGAAAATATACACACTCTTCAAGAATCTGTTCAATTTGGATCAAAGGTACAGACTTCAAGCTGCACCATTTTTTAAAATTGTGTTGATAGGTCAAGTAAACCCAGAGTTATGATAATTAATTTAAAACACTTTATTTTTTATTTGAGTCATATTTGAAGAGGGAGGTGGCAAAAAACGGGAAGAGTCATGGGGAAAAATAATTTWAAAAAATCCTAAGTGCCAAATAATTACCTGAGGATTAATTTCACACAAAACGATTTTGCCCAATCCAAGTCCACACAAGGATAAAGCACATATTTGGCATTAAGGCTAAGTTGTTGAACTCAAAGGGAGTTTGTCTGTTTTTGTTGTTTACTCAAGGTTTTATTTTGTGTGTCCAAGATTTGTATAAATTTAGAAGAACGGCTGAAGTTATTTGTTCTTTTCTCTCTGTAGACACAGAACAGGATGAAGCTGATGGCAGACAACTACGAGGACGACCATCTAAAGGTGGCATCTCCAAACACTGAGCAACCAAACAATCACAAGCCCTCCCCAGATCAGGTAAGATGGCTGCCCAGAGTTTAATTCACTCCTCTCGATCTTTACATAACAAATCATGTTATAGAGTGCAAGTGCTGCTAATTTCTCTTATGATTTGTTTGTTTCTCTGAGTCTTATTTGGTTTAACCAAACCTGCTTTGCTTTCCTCACAACATCTGTCTCACACTAACTCGCTGCTGTTTCTGAACTCACGCTACGGCTGGACTCAACTAAACAACAGGACGACGAGGAGGGCATTTGGGCCTAGCCAATCACATGCCTTCTTCCTCACCCTCAGTCCGCCATTTTTGTACAGAAGGGTGAGCCCCTTTCCCGGATCCCGCCATGTTTGACGTCTTATCCTTCGTCTYGAATTTCATCTTTCTGTCATGCATGAGTTTGTGATCCCGTTCTGGGTTTTGTACATTTTTCATCAGCTTTGTCTCTCAGTTTAACTCATTTTTTCTCATTTATCTTATTTGTTACTTTGTCAGGAATACTTTGAAATCCTAAATCATGATTTCCAGCCATTCAATTTGCCTTTTCAAAGCAAGTTTTTAATATACAGTATATATATTTTTGGGCACAATTTTACGCCAACAACCTCACAATTTACTCTATTATTTTTGTGCTTTAATAAGTCTTTGCACTTTTTGGTTCATACTGAAAGTGCTTATAATAAATTTCTATTTTGCATTAATTTAATTTGCCTTAATGTGTATAATTTTTGTATGAAGATGCACCAGACTTTAGTTTGTTACATCAGAAGGCAATTTCTTTTAAGAATCTGCAGTGTTTTTGGTATAAATCAGTGATTTGTTTTATTGGGACAAATGCATGACAACTTTAACCTCAAGCAAAAATAAAGTAAAAAAA